GAGACGGGTTCTGGAGCATCTCAGATGGCGTTGAGTAGTCTCAGAAACACTGGGAAGGAGGCGACCCTGGGCAGTGTCAGGAGGGTGGTAGTTAAAACACTAGGGTTAAATAAGTTGTTTCAGAGTAAACAATGTCCTCCTCCTTTGAAACAATCAATTAATTGCAACTAAGAAATTTTGTTTTAGCCCTGGCTGGTTTTATCAGTGGTTAGAGCATCGGCCTGCAGACCCATGAGTCTCAGGTTCAATTCCGGCCATGGTCATGTACCTTGGTTTCAGTTCGGTTTGTCCCTGGGTCGGGGTCATGTGGGAAGCAACCAGTAGATGTGTCCCACTCACGTCGATGTTTTTTTCTCTCTTCCTCTCTCTCCCTCCCTCGCACTCTATCTGAAGGAAATAGAAAAATATCCTCAAGTGAAGATTAAAAAAAGAAATTTTGTTTTAGAGATATTTTTATTTATTTATTTTCATTGTTTTTTTATTCTCACCCGAGGACATTTTTGCATTTATCTTCAGATAGAGCAGGAACGAGAAAAGAAGGAAGAGAGAAAGAGAAACATCGATGTGGGAGAGACACATCGACTGGTGGCCACCCACACAACTTCAACCGGGGTCAGGGACAAACTGCAACTGAGGTACATGCCCTTAGTGGGAACCGAACCCGGTTTCCTCTGGCCTGCGGGCCAACATTCTAACCGCTGAGCCAAACTGGCCAGGGCTGTTTTAGAGCTATCTTAATCAAATGTAAAAGATGATTAAGGAAGCACTGTCCATCTGGTTCACTGCCGTATGCCCAGAGCAGCACAGTGCCTAGGCATGTAGTAGGTGCTCAATAAAAACCCACTAAATGATTTGGGAAGAAAAGTCATAAGGAAAATTCCCTGAGCCAATGAAACAAATATATTTTGTTAGGGCATGTGGCTCTGCCTCACAGTAGGACCCAAATCTCACAGCAGCTACAGAATGATGGGGCAACAAGGGCACAGATCTTGGTAATTTTAGTTCAGACACCATGATAGAGTTCATTTTGGACTTAAATATTAAATGTCAAACTCCTCAAAATTATAAAACTAGCATAAACAGATTTTTAAAAATCCTCACCCGAGGATATTTTTCCATTTATCTTCAGACAGAGTGGGAGGGAGGGAGGGAGAGAAACATAGATGAGAGGGACACAACTGGTTGCCTCCCATATGACCCTGATGAGGGCCGGGGACGAACTGCAGCCAAGGTACGTGCCCTTGACTGGAATTGAACCCGCAACTCATTGGTCCACGGGTCGATGCTCTAACCGATAAGCCAAATTGTCCAGGGCCAGATTTCTTTTTTTTTTTTTTTTTTTTTTTTTTTTTTTTTTTTTTTTTTTTTTTTTTTTTTTTTATTGATTTTATTTTATTTTATTTTTTTTTTTTATGAATTTTTATTTATTTTTTTGTTACAGATATTTTACCTTTTTACCCCATTGGCACCCCCCACCCCACCCCCTCCACCCTGTCCCCGGCTTAGTTGTCCATGTCCATTGGTCATGCATACATGCATATAAGTTCTGTGGTTTATCTCTTCCCACCCCCCCACCCCCCATCCCCTCTTCTGAGGGATGTCAGTCTGTGCCCTACTTCCATGTGTCTGGGTCTACTGTATTCCTCAGACTGTTATGTTCATTATATTCCGTATATAAGTGAGATCATGTGGTATTTGTCTTTTTCTGCTTGGCTTCTTTCACTTAGGATAATACTTTCCAGGTCCCTCCATGTCGTCTCAAAGGATAAGAGATCTTTCTTTCTTACCGCTGCATAGTACTCCATTGTGTATATGTACCACAGCTTTTTGATCCATTCGTCTACTGGTGGACACTTGGGCTGTTTCCAGATCTTAGCTATTGTAAATAGTGCTGCTATGAACATGGGGGTACATATATTCTTCCTGATTGGTGTTTCAGGCTTCTTAGGGTATATTCCCAGCAGTGGGATCACTGGGTCAAATGGAAGTTCAATTTTTAATTTTTTGAGGTAGCACCATATTGTTTTCCATAGCGGCTGCACCAGTCTGCATTCCCACCAGCAGTGTATTAGAGTTCCCTTTTCTCCACACCCTCGCCAACACTTGTTGTTTGATGATTTGTTGATGGCGGCCATTCTGACAGGTGTGAGGTGATACCTCATTGTTGTTTTAATTTGCATCTCTCGGATGATTAGTGATGTTGAGCATTTCTTCATATGTCTCTTGGCCATTTGTATGTCCTGTTTGGAGAGGTGTCTATTCAGCTCCTCTGCCCATTTTTTAATTGGGTTCTTTGTCTTCCTTTTGTGGAGTTGTGTGAGCTCTCTGTATATATTGGAAATTAACCCCTTATCTGATACATCATTGGCAATGATGTTCTCCCATACAGTGGGTTGCCTTTCCATTTTGATGATCGTTTCTTTTGCTGTGCAGAAGCTTTTAGTTTGATGTAGTCCCATGTGTTCATTTTCTCCTTTATTTCTGTTGCCTTAGGTGATGTATCAGTGAAAATTCTGCTCCGTATGATGTCCGAAATTTTGTTGCCTACATTTTCTTCTAGAATTTTTATGGATTCACGGGTCACATTTAAGTCTTTTATCCATTTTGAGTTTATTTTTGTGTATCAGGGCCAGATTTCTTGATCTAACTTTCCAAATGTCTTTAAACTTCATTCTACTGATTTAAAAATTAATATCAGGGATGTTGGGTCTCAGTTGTAAATGTGAATTGATTTGTATTAAGATGTTTTAAAATAACATGCAAGTTCTCTTTCAGACCTAAATATCTTATGTAATTCATGTATCTCAAGCTCCCACAGAATGTGTCATTAGTGCCAATTTTATCGCTTCTACAGTGGCCATCCTAGAAGGTTGTTTTTCCTAACGTGGATAACATTTCAGGCCCCCACGTCTGAAAGGGACTGAGTAGGCAACTGCTCAGTTCCAACCTCGTCCTCCTGCTAGGCATGTAGCTGCCTCTATCTTTAGAACATTTGATATTAACCTCCAGTATAGCAGGTGCTCTCTTTATACACCCCTTATAAACTCGTAATTTGTATTTATACAAGTTTTCAGGAGGGACTAAGTTCATTCTTTTAAGTTGAAAAATAACATGGGCCCTACCTCCTCCAGTAGGTTAATAAACTATTTTGTGCAAGTGTGAAGTGAGCCATGAGTACAGTCTCCAGATAAGATTGATCAGTTCACTAGCTCTACTTCCAGCTCATGAATCCAAAACTTTGTTCCTTTTGGCACTGCAAAGGCTATTTGCTATTTGTATTTTCCATGTTCCTAGAGTTCCAGTTTTCTTTTATTAAGGTATGGGACCACATTTTATTGCTGAACTCTTTATTTCTTTATTTTGTTAATCTTCACCTGAGGATATTTTTCTGTTGATTTTTAGATAGAGTGAAAGGGAGGGAATGAGGGAGGGAGAGAGAGAAACATTGACTGGTTGCCTCCCACACAACCCTGCCTGGGGCTGGGGATTGAACCGGCAACCCAGGTATGTGCCCTTGACTGGGAATCAAACTGGAGACCCTTCAGTCTGCCGGCCGACACCCCAACAGCTGAGCCAAACTGGTTAGGGCCTGAGCTATTTTTAAAGCACCACAAGCATACCCTTCCCATTTGGATACTGGACACTCTCTCTGTACTCTCAAGTCATAGCGCTGGACAATCTCTGAATGTCTCTTATGCAGCTTTGCAAAATGATCCCTAGCATGGCCTCTTGGCCCCTTTACATGTATTTATGGATATCAAATAACTATGCAACTATGTTGGCCTTTTAATGACCTTCAGTATTCCTTGTGATGAGAACAGAAGCCATTAATAGCACAAACACAAAGGAGGTCCCCTCATTCCAAATAAACAAGATTCTTTAGCTACATTTTCATTGTCTCCCTGTAGCTTCATTTTGCTGAGCAGAATGGCAGCTAACATCAGAAGCAAGAAAACCACCTTTCCTCTTTCTCAGATACTGGGGGGTCAAATATTAGCAGAACAAAATATCTGATATGACGCATAGGTGATTGATTTAAGGGGAAATCTGTTTTAGATACACAAAGTCCATGACTATTTCTGTTCACATGCATTTTATGCTCTTTCTGGTAGCCCCATGTAGAAACAATATTTGTCACTTAAATTTGGTTTCCTTAAATTTAATTCAGCCCAATATTAGTGATTCCACTCCCTATCCCCCTTTTAAGGGACAAAAGTTGGAAGTTTTCTTGGTAGAATAAACCAAGGTCCTCTTAATCACACTGTTCCAGTACTAGGTGACATCATTCTTTTATAAACATGTCTCATTAACTAGATTAGGGCTGGGAAATCTGAGATATCCTAATTCAACTTTCCTATTTTTTTTTTATCCTCACCCAAGGACATTTTTCCTTTTTTTGTTCAGATAGAGTGGGAGGGAGAGAAAGGAAGAGAGAGAAACACATTGACGTGAAAGGGACACATCAATTGGCTGCCACCCACACAACCCAACCAGGGCTGGGGACAAATTGCAACCAAGGTCCGTATCCTTAGCAGGAACCGAACCTGAGTCTCTCTGGACTGCAAGCCGATGCTCTAACCGCTGAACAAAACTGTCCAGGGCTCAACTTTCCTATCTTACAAATGAGAAAACTATGAGCTGGAATAGGAAATTATAGTTGGAAGCCATGTTCTCTGGCTCCTAGATCAACGCTCTTCCAACTATACCAAGATTGGTAGACTATGCAGTAATGCAGACAAGATGAAAGATTTCCAGTGGTAGTTTTAAGCACTTCGTATTAATGTGAGAGAATGTGACATATAGCTATGAATCATGGCTATGAATCACCCCCAAAGTAATCATTTTAAGCAGGCTTTGACATTTTAAATTGAGATAAAATGAGGAACTCAGATCTTCCAACACTGTCCAAATGTCACATCCAAAAGTTTGAAATTAATATTAACTTTCAATAAAGGCATTTCAATGGAAAAAAATTAAAACTTAGCAAAGAACTTCCAGTTTTTATTTTTTAAACATTTTAAAAGAAAAACATTCAACCAAATTTAAAAAAATTAGGATGGATTAATTCACAATAAAATAGGCAACTTATATCAGCCCTTTCATTTAGGGCCAAGGAGGCCAATAGTTGCCGTTTAAACAGCAGAATTGCACAATCAATCACTTTACCTATATTTGATGGCACAGAAATGTAAAAGTCATACAACACCCATTGTGACCATCCCTTCCCTCCAGAGTAGACGTCATGCAATTGCTTCTTAGGTCAGTACTCAGGCTTTTAAAAATCACCAGTTATATTTGAAATATATCTACAACTACTCTGATAACAAGAACACTTTTAAGACAATTCTTATAGGAAACACCTTATAATAATTTTGTGGCACACTGGACTGTTTAAAGAAATGGCAAAGATGAAAAATAATGTACAAAGTTACAGTCCCTTGTTTATGGAAACCACCCAAATAAAATATTTTCCCTAATTATCTGTTTCTTGTAATTTATTAGCAGAGATGAATTACAAGAAGCAGAGTGCACCATTTTTTGGTTGTTGTAGCTGCCACCTCAAGTTCATGACTGCAAATGTAACGCAAAACATGATGCTGCTCACCAAGTCTGGAATGGGAAAAAAACAAAATCTCTCTTCAAAGTGTTTCTCTATTCTTGCTTTCAAGTCAAGACAAAAAATTCACAGCAGTTTAAAGGATGATAAACGATTAAACATGGGGCCCACTAAAATACATAGAGAATAATTTTACCCATTACACTCCTAAAGTGAAAACTGTAATAAGTATGATACTGTATTACCAAGTAACAGAATTCTATAGTAAGCTGTTGGAGCAAATATAGCACTTAACAGGTTAGGCAAGGTAGCCTTTAGACAGAACATCGTATTTTCATACTCTTGAGTGTGCAACCTTTAAAAAACACACAAAGTAATGTGTAATTTATGACAGCTGGCCAGGCACTTAAACTTGGGGAAAGAGACTTTCAGATTTTGAGGTAAACTAGAATTGTTTTTAGCAATTACAAACATATTCTAAACACCACATTTTATACCACACTAACTGAAGCTATTCAGCATTTAACATAACTTTGTCACTCTATCTTGCCAAAGTCCACACCTAAATGTAACTTCTTAAGATGCTATTAAAAGAATATTTAAGTCTGAATTGTGGCCCTATTTAGATACTTCTGTGCTTACAACATACTTGAGGGAACAATAAGGTACAAACATACAAGGGCTATGGGCACAGGAACCCCAATCAGTTATCTTTTCCCCTAATTTGACATTAGAAAAAGCATCACGCTGTCAGTCACATAGACGAGAGGAGGAGGAAGGGGAAGACAGGAAGACAACGACAATGAGGACAACTACGGTGACAAGCCTCCATCAAGCCTCAAGGAAAATGACAGAGCAATGCTCCAGAAGCAGCAGAAACACAGCAGCAGCGAGTGCCTGCTTACAGGTGTCCACTGTACTGTGAAACTCTCAGAATTAACACGAAGGAGCACAACTCTATGAGTCTATTACACTTGACACAGTACACATTTCTTCCCCTCTTCTGAATTCATTTCAAGGCGATGTGGAGTTTGCTTAATAAATCAAAATTTATATTAGAAGACAGAGGACCTCAGTAAGTATTTACATATTAAAAGACCAGAACAGAAAGTGGCCATTTTGGAACTAGGCTTTTATCAAAAGTTTAAGTCTATTTTTCATTAGAATTACCAGGATATTATTTGCAAATGGCAAAGTCAGGTCTCCAAATTCTCATAACAATTCATTACGGTTTCCATTCCTTTCTCAAAAAGCAATTCCAATCCAAAGGCTTCTTGTTCCGAACACACTCATCAGCTTTGTATGCACAGACTAATTCATCAACGCCTTGTTTTAAACACTTCAAAGAACATTATGAACAAAAAAAAACTAAACAAAATTTGATGTGAGGTACCCTCATTCTCAAAAAAATAATGAAAAAAATATATATATTGGCTTCATTTAGTTTCCATGAGGCTAAAAAAAGGAGTCTAGACACTTTCTTTATAAAGACTGCTAAGCCGACCCTTAAGACACCAAGCTTTTCCAGTTATGGTCAAGGACTTGCGTTAACTGACCTCTTCTTTCCTCGCAGGATAAGAGCATACATCCAGCAAAACTACCAGCTGGGGTTACTGGTGCAATGAGCAAATGTGGATGAGTTTCTCCCTCTGTGATGCTAACTGGCTCGCTCAAGTTTTGAAAAGGTAACCCTGGTCCATTTAGCACCATGCTTTACTCAACTACAATAATGAAACTGCAGTTGCTGTGTGCGAGGGATAGAGGATAGGGTGAAAAGATGACTGAGGGCAATTACATACATCACGAAGATACCATGATATGCACTAAAAATGTGTCTGTTAATATATTATGTTTGAGGCTTGAAAATCATCAATCACAATATTAAATATAAACTGCATCAAATTTTTACAATTTTGCACACCTGAAAATGTAGAGCTTTCAGATATAAACCAAATTTAAATATGAATGGAAGTTCATTGAACATTAGATTATGAGAAAGTTAGAAGAAACAGATTACATACACTTTACAGGTAGCAACCTACAAAAAAAGAAAGTAAAGCGTCGGTAAAAATTAAGTGAAATTATTTAAAATTATTTCCAGTTTCATCTTTCTCTTGGGAGAACCTAAAACAGGTCTCTGGAAAGGCAACTTTATACATGTAAGAAATGGCATCTGCTATTGCATTGGTGTATCTTTCCCTCAAAGGTAGACAGGTTGTAGGCATATCTCAGACATTCATTTTCATGTATAATGGTTTTTGAGACATCCACTCCACTGAAGTATTGTAAAGAAAGTTTACAAACCACTTCTAGGAAAAAGGCACTTCATTGTGAAAGTTAGATTTAATTGCGTGAAAGTCGAGAAGACTAGGAGAGACTCAAAAGTCTGTATTCACCTTTGTATTTATGAATACAGAGCAGATGCCAGTTTATAGAATATAGCCGATACCATTATAAACAAACCAAATACCACATTAACTATATTCTCAGCAAAACAGTAACTTATGACATTTCTCCAAAAACCAATATAGTTCCAAGTTCAACAGTAAAAAGAAAAAAATAATCACCAGCAGTTGCTACATTAGAGCTCAAGACATTGTTTTCTACAGAATTTCATGTCTACAGTTTGGCTGTTTCAGAGCATGAATTGCTTTCCAGATGTAAAACCTGGGGTGGTGGTGTTTGGGGAGAACCCAGGGTGGAAAAATATTGGGGAATAACAAGAGGTTCATTTCTCTGGTCAGACAACCAAGTGAGGAGGTAGTTATTCTGAGAACTTCTCCAATAGAGAACATTGTACTGATGTGCTGAGAGTTGGGGAAGTAGCAGGAGCTTCTTTGTGAGACTGAAGATAGCAACAGGAACTTGTTTCTCCTCCAGGGAAGTCAGGACCAGGGTGTCAGTGCAGCTGCAATGAGATGGAATGTGTGTAAATGTCATCTAGAGAGCTAAGAAACACAAGGTGAAGAAATCAACATGAATGATAATCACTTGTCCTACCTTGACAGTGGCTCTTTTCTTATGCTAGAACTTTAAAGTATCTGTAAGAAAAGAAGACACACCATGTCATGATCATCTAGTTTTGATGTAGTGGTTTTTCAAACTCCTGGTCAGTGCCAAGAATGAGGTATTCATACCTTTCATAAATAATGTCTTCTAATTTCTAATATTATTGAAAATGTAACAATGTCTGTAAAATAATTAAATGTTTAAAAAATAGTTTAGACCTCAGTACTGTTTGGCAGGGCACCATAAGGAAAACATTTTATAGTTGTAAGCAAGCAGAAACTCTCAGGTAAATAACATAAAAAATAATAATAGCAACACTCCTGAAAACTGCCTGATTTATAATTATGTCCAGAGACCATATGCTCACCTTGTTACATCACCACACAAGGCAACCCCAAGCAACCTTGAGTCCCATCATCACTGCTATTGAGCTTTTTCATTCGGTACTGACGTATTTCTCTTACCAGTGTGTAAAAGGCATCTTCAACACCCTACAAAAGAAAATGATAAAGACAGCCTAACAGACACAATCCAAGTTGTAAGCTCTCTCTCACTTCTTTCTTTTTTTTTTTTTTTTTTTTTTCCTCACCCGAGGACGTTTTTCAATATTTTGTTCAGATAGAGTGAGAGGGAGAGAGAGAGAGAGAAACATCGACGTGAAAGCGACACATCGAGTGGTTGCCACCCACACAACCCAACCAGGGCCGGGGACAAACTGCAACCAAGGTACGTGCCCTTAGCGGGAACCGAACCCGGGTCTCTCCGGACCGCAGGCCGACGCTCTAACCGCTGAGCCAAACCGGCCAGGGCTCTCTCTCACTTCTTTATGTGGCTTTAGAATTCCAAATGTTAAATCATAAGCTAATAAGATAGGGTGGTGTAGAAAGAGGACACTAAATTTAGCATTCCTATTGAATCACATTAACAGGCTGATATACAAATGGCACATTTTGCAAAAATAACATTTGAGCAAAGAAAAAGTGGTAATGTGAGGGACACACAAACTACCTGATTTAAAGGTTCCATTCAGAAGAGTTTAAACCCTAAACAGTGGCTGGTGTTGATGGAGAAAAGACTAATGCTTTTAAGTACCTTTACTCAAAGGTTTTCATTTTAGTAATATGTGTGCATGTTAATGCAGGTGTAAAAATGCCACGCCAGAATATTAACAAGTTCATTTCGGGTTTAAACCAAAGATTAAAATAGAACACTATTAAAAATCCGTAACAACAAAGAATGTAGACCCCATCTCTAGCGAAGAGTCAATCAAACCCTCCTGCCTTAAACAAAGCCTTGCCAGGTGCTGGAAGCTGTACTCTACCTGTCTGGTCTTGGCTGAGGTTTCAATGAATGGAATCCCATAACTCTTGGCCAGTTCATGGGCTTGTTTGGTGTCAACTGTCCTTGTTGGCAAATCACATTTGTTTCCTACTAGCACCATAGGTACATCATCTGAGTCCTTTACTCGCTTAATCTGTTCCCTAAAAAAGGGAATAAATGATAAGAACAAGCTTTTTGGAAGGAACAAACAGCTAGGAAAAAAAGGAACATAGCGAAGTTTATCTAGCCCTATTAGTAGTGAGTTTCACATTTTTCCCCTACTACTTATAAAAGACCTTGCATCATGAGACTGGTTTAGACTTGATTCAGTAATAACGCCACATTCTCAATGTCAAACAAACTAAAACCAATCCTTCTCATAATTCAAAAAGCTGGATCTTTCCTAGTGTGGCATCTTTATTCCCTAACAAAGCTTCAGAACACACTTAAAGATCATCCTTCAAAAAAAGAAAAATAATGCTCCTAGTACCTGTAGAGGTTAATATCTGCAAATGACTTGCTATTATTGATAGCAAATACACAGAGGAAGCCTTCGCCTGTCCGCATATATTGGTCTCTCATGGCACTGTACTCCTCTTGTCCAGCTGTATCCAGTATGTCCAACAGACAGGTTTCACCATCTATAACCACCTGTTTTCGGTAAGAATCCTGGAGGGGCGCAGAGAGGGAGATTCCACTTTTATTAACAGCCACAGGAAATGCAATTCTATTGCCAAGGTTAAATAAGCTCCTACCCAAGTCCATTTCTCTCTCTCTGGTTTGTCCCTCAAACTGCTAATATATAATCACAAACAGAAAGTACTTAATGTTTTCCTAGGAAAAAGCCCCAAATCCTATATGCCTGCAGAAAGGAAAATGTGAACACTCTGTTCCTGGAAAAGATATAAAACCGTGGTTAATTCAAAAGGCAGCTCTACTGCAGTTAGACTAGAGGTTGATCACAGCGCATTTTACTAAGGTATGAAGAACTGAACTCTTATTTGTTTATTGTACTTTTAAAACACTTAAAATTCTAAGCAGCCCTGGATGGTGTGCCCAGCATCGGCCGGCACACTGCGGGGTTGCAGGTTCCATTCTTGGTCAAGAGCATGTACCAGGGTTATAAGTTTGATTCTGGACCAGTTGTGGGGGTGTGTGAGAGGCAACCAATCGATATGTCTCTCCCACATTGATGTTTCTTTCTCTCTCTCTCTCTCTCTCTCTCTCCCCACCTCCCTCCCTCCCACTCTCTTAAAAAAAAAAAAAAAAAAAGGGAAAAGAAAAAAAAAAAAAATCAATGGAAAAAATATTCTCGGGTGAGGATTAACCCAAAAAGTCACTGTACTGTAGATATACCATTTCTGTATTTTACTGTATGTAAACCATCCCACAATAACTAAAACTCTGAGAAGTATTAAAAGATTCTAACTATTAATACTAAAACTGTTAAGCCTAAAATAAAGAGTTTTGCAAAGAACTAATGAATTATTATTTTTTTTTATCCTCATCCGAGAACATTTTTCCATTTTTTGTTCGGATAGAGCGGGAGGGAGAGAGGAAGAGAGAGAGAAGCATCGACATGAAAGGGACACATTGAGTGGCTGCCACCCACATGACCCAACCAGGGCTGGGGACAAACTGCAACCGAGGTACATGCCCTTAGCGGGAACCAAACCTGGGTCTCTCTGGACCGCAGGTCGACACTTCAACTGCTGAGCCAAACCGGCCAGGGCATGAATCATTCTTAATAAGCCTATCTTAGAGTTAGCTTGCATTAAATACTCAGTGTGGCTGGGTGGTAAGAAGACCAGGATATAGATTAAAATACAATAATTTCTAGAGTTACACATTTCTAAATTGAATAAAATTACAAGGGCTTTTATTTAAAGGTTTTGCCATTCACTGCAGCCATCTTTAACATGAACTCCCATTTAAAGGATTTTTTTTCCCCCAATCCTCACCCGAGGGTACTTTTTCCCATTTATCTCCAGATCTTCAGATGTGGGGGAGGGGAAGAGAAATGTCGAGCAACATCACTGGTTGCCTCACACATGACCTCAACCAGGGCCAGGGGCAAACTGCAAGGGAGGTGCATGCCCTTGACTAGAATCAAACCCGTGACTCTTTGGTCCACAGGCCGACACACTACTGCTGAGCCAAACCTGCCAGGGTTTCAAGGATCTTTAAATAAGTACTATTTATCCAGTGCTTTACCATTCACAAAAAATTTAAACACATTTGATTTTGCACATCATCCCCTTGTGGTAGGCAGGACAAGCTTATAGTAATTTAATAGATGAAGAAAACGAGACTCTGAGAGATTAAGTGATTTGCTCAATATCACACAACTAAACAAAATGCAAACACGAACTGAAATCCTAGGCACAGTGACTCAAAATCTCATGTTCTTTCTACTCCAACCCACAGTCTCGGCTGCTTCAACGAGTTAAATAAAAATTGTAGAACAGCCCTGGCCGGTTTGACTCAGCGGTTAGAGTGCTGCGGGCAGCTGGCGGACCAATGAGTTGAGGGTTCGATTCCGGTCAAGGACACATACCTTAGTTGCGGTTTGCCCCTGGCCCTGGTTGAGGTCATGTGTGAGGCAACCAGTGATGTTTCTCGATGTTTCTCTCCGGCCAACTCTATCTGAAGATACACAGAAAAATATCCTCGGGTGAGGATTAAAAAATGCAGAACAACCAGATCTCTGAGCCCTTTATCTCCATCCTGCTATATTATTCACTCTACCTATGGCCTGTGATTCTTTCAAAATAGGGCTATCATGTATAAAGAAACTAAATGAGTTCAACACTGAATTTACAAGTTTACACAACTACAAAAAACTGTCATCTTTTTAGAAAATCTTCAGCAGCTCATAAAAATGAACTCGTCTCCACAAACATGGAAAGCTTTATTTATTGTACTGAACGCAGTACACAAAATAACCTTCCCCTTTCTTTCCTGATTATTCCTTTAGCCAAAGGGCATGGGTGAGGGTAAACGGAAAGAAAGGAGGTAGTGTCAGCGGACTACGACTGGGCCTCACCTCTATGGTGGGATCATATTCATCTACAAAGTGGTTCTGGATTAGCTGGATTGTCAGCGCGCTTTTCCCAACACCACCTGCTCCAACCACCACCAGTTTGTACTCAGTCATTTCACACCAGCAAGACCTGTGGAAAAGCACCGATTACGGTTAACTGGAGAGCCACCTCTACAGTAGTTGAAAACTTTCTATAATCAGTAGCAACTAAAACCAGAGTTTGAAATGTATCGGTCCCATACACGTGACCCTCCGCTGGGTTCTCAACCTGATTCCGGAATGCAAAACACAAGTTACTGTTGGTCTCAGAATTCTGTATAGTCTTCTGGCTACCCCCACCCCATCTATTTTTCATCAGTCCTTGGGACCCACCCTCGGCCTAAGGTAAAGGAACTCCCCGCTTCCTGCTCCTCCCGCAAAGCTCCTCGGTTCTGGGGGGCTGCCTGCAGGCCGTCCCCTCTTCAGACTACCCCGCCGGTCTCCAAAGAGTTCTTCCGTAGGAATCAAAACGAAGGACCCCCCCCCCCAGCGCCTTTGTCTCCAGCTCGCAGATTCCTCTCGACTACTGTCAATAACCAAACGCCTGTACGGTTAAGCGGAACCATACACACGCCAGAGCCTTACCTCAAGCTCCGGTGCCTCCCTTGCGAACGGATTTAGAATCACCACTAGGAAAAATGCTGGAGACCCCGGAACCGCCATGAACAGCCCCCACCAGGGAGCGGCACTTCCGGCCCCGCCCTCTACGTAATCAGTCTGCGCAGCGAGCGCCCCTGTCCCCGCCCCAGCCACGTGGGCCTCCAACCCAGGAGTCAAGCGGCAGACCGCACCCAGACCCGCTCCTCCCACTTAGGATATTTCAATAATGAAAGCGCTACGTGCTGGTGTCTCAAAAATCAGTAAAACTTTATTCGCTTCCGTTCTTTCGCCATTAACAGAAAACTGGAGAAAGCAAAAATGTTTTGTGTTTACAAAGATAAATGGCCTCTTTACCCAGAGAAGATCAAAACCTCAAATGACAACGGGGAAGATAAAAGCGCCCTCCCCCACATCCCCTGAGCTGACCCATGTCATCTTAGACAAAGCCTTCAGTCCACTGGCCAAGGACCCTGCATGTGGCCAATTCAAGATGAGGGCCAAGAAATCAGACCAATTCGTTCCCGTGATATAAAGGTGAACAGAAGCTACACCAAGGGTCAAGTGCCTGTATTTTACAGGACACAGGAACCAGGTGGCTACTTATTAAAAAAAACGAGATTCATTTCAGGCACAATTTTTTTATTTTTTTTTGTTTTGTTTTAAATCAGTAAAAGAAACTGGGTCCTAGAAGCTGCAGTGATCTAAGCAGCAGCAAGTTTGTGCATTCGTCTTTTTCATTTGTTTAAATACGTTTAAATTATCACACTGCTGGCACACCTCATTTGCATGAAATTCTGCACCATACATACAAATTGCAGTAAATTTACCCCCAACCCCATCCCAGGGGGGAAAAAAACTACTTTGGAAGATAATTTTCATTGAAATCTAACCAAACTTCGTTAAGTGGACTGTGACAAGATTATAAATGATATGAAAAATAACATTTTAACATTTGGCCATCAACTTAAGGAAATGGTTTGCCTACACACAAATTTAAAAAATTTTTAATATAGTCTACCCTCATATGGTCCTCAGAATTAAAGCATAATGAACAGGAAAGAAAAGGAAAAGAATGCAACTGAGTGCTAAGGCAGGATATCTTGCCATAAGTAATGAAGGTAGAGTATATATAAATTATCAAGTGCAGAATTTCATAGAGCCAACAAGGTAACAGTCTATATTTTTCACTTACTCGGGCGAAGTGGATTTTGCAATTACCAGTTGCGTTAAATGCACCAAATAAAGCTCCTAAAATTGATACTACAAGGCGCCACCTTAAGTTTTCCAGGCTGCAACTGTGCATAATTTTAAAATGGTTTTCTTAAATTTATTTATTTTTTTTAAACATAACACGAGGAAGGTGTTAAAACTGTTGTAATAGCTCAATAGAATAAGTATTCCAGATTTTGGGGAGGGATGAAGAGGGAGATATTCAGAACCCTTCACCAGAATCCCCCCAACTTGATCATCGTGGATTAATGATGTGCTTTGTGGATGTGGTTAGTCAATGACACCAGCCTGACGGATCTTTCTTTCTGCACCAAATCCCTGTGAAAAAATAAAATTGCAGTTAATGACCTGAGGGCATGACAATCACAGCACATTCACAATTCCAAAATGAACTACAAAAGCATTACTTTTAATCATCTTAACCACTACCAATTCTTTCCCAGACGAAATCTTACATAGTAAAGCCCTCCTGATCTTTTATACAAAACTGTGTTCAAAGTATTAGGAAAACAAAGAAACGTGCTTTTTAACAGTGAGCAACCATTACGGTGGGGACTGAATCAATGTGTAGGGAGTCCTAACTAGCTATAAGTAATACTGATGCTCCTTAAGCTCTCTAAGATATGCTGAAATAGGACCTCAAGTATTATGTTGGTCAGCCATTTCTCCCCACCCTCCTCCCCCCAAAACCTTGTATGCCCTCATACCATTGAGTTATCTGGTCCCCTTGGCTGACGAAGAACCATTAGGCGAGGAGCACTGGCATCATCCAAGGTGATGTTCTTCAAGCGATTGACCAACCTATCAGGTCGTGGAGCTGCAACAGCCTTGGGACCCTCGCTATAACAAAGAAGCAAGAAGCATGGAAGGGGAAGGAAGAGATAAAAACTTATATGCACAACCAATCAACAAACACATTAGGCTGGGGAAGGCAGAAGGGGTGTGAGAGTGGGCAGGAGGGGGTCAATGGGGGAAAAAAAGGGGAACATCTGTAATGCTTTCAACAATTAAAAAAAAAAAGAAAGTGAGAAGTAGCAACACTTGGTGGGAAGGAAGCAAGTACTTACACAGGAGTATGTTTTCCACCTAACTACCTAAGTGACTCAGTTTTAACGAGGTGGGAGAGACTCTTGCTTCACTTAGCCAGGTAGCTAGCAAGACAGGACAGACAAGTTTGTTTATGTTCTTATTCCCAACTCAAGGTTTATTACTGCATAGGAGCTGGAAGAATCATTTGGGTGATGGTCATCCCTAGACTGGTCTGCAACCAGAAAGACCAGTTCCACAGACACATTTGAAAAATCTTAGAAGAGTTAAATACGAAGAAATATTTCCAGAGCCTTCCAGCTCCTACCATGGTAACACTGTTATTAAAAAACAACAACACCCAAAACAAAAAACACAGAGCCAGAACTGCTAAACTACAAAATTAGACTTTTAAGCACTATATAATCTAGAAATGGCTTAATGAAAGGGGGTGGGGGAGCTAAACAGAATCCTTTCAGAACAAAGACTACATCATCTTTTTACATTTAACATCTATTACATAGCAAGTGCCTAATTAATATTCCACTGGGCCAGATTTATGAGACTAAAAATTGACCCTATGAAGACGAGAGGTCAGAGAGACAAATCATCAAGAAATAAGAAAATAGCAGAAGAGAATAAAAAAAGCAGAAATGGAAAAATGAAGAAATGCAATAAAGTAGAGATAAGTTAATTAAGAGAGAGTCCAGGGAGACTGCTAATATAACAACAAAAACTCACCAGACTCGCCAAACATTACAAGCGCTACACTTGCCAGTGCGCTGATTAAGAATCACTGAGAATTCCACCTCATCTCCAGCCTGTAGCTCAATGCCATCCTGAACTTCTTTCACATGGAAAAAGAGCTTCTTGCTATCTCCTACTTCATAGTTAATGAAGCCAAACTGAAATTTAAAAAACACAACACAAAAAAATATAATACAGGGGGTAGAGCACCTCACTTTGAACGATGCACAATGTGTGATCCTAACAAGAAAGGGTTTGCAAAATATGGTATTAACATGGATGCTCTGGTTCAGCTGTCTGTGCTACAACTTAACAGTATTATGAGTCTGCAAAACTTGCCAGGGCAGAAATATATATTTGAAATCACTGCCATGACTATCATAGCCTGGCTGAAACAAGTAAAGAAAGATCGCCTGTGCCTTCATATAGTATGTAAGTTAAAATTTTAAATTATATAAAATCATTAGAAAGTTGTTACATAAACATATGCATTGTTTTGATCCCTTCTGGAATTATTAAGCTGGGTTATGATATTATTAAAAACAGGCACACAAAACATTTTATTCATAGTACTGATATTAAAAAATATCCTGAGGACTCACAGGAATTTTCCTGAGATCTCACTATCAGGAATAGTTTTGTGTGCCCTAAGCTTATTTTATGAACACTTCTACACATGGTTTCTTTCCTTGTGTAGTCTGCAAGCTCTGAGCTTTAAAGTGTACAAAATCTTTGTTATGGAAATCTTACTCCAAGTTTACTTTTCCCATCATGTAATGTTAGTTATTAATACCACTAATTTTTTTTGGCTAGTATCATCACTTTACCCACCCCATTCATGTGGTTTTCTTCATGTTTTTATAAGCTACCTCAAATCACTGAAAAAAGGGTAAGGCAGAAATAAAAACCAAATGAATGCTGATGGTTCCCCCCTTGACTGAAAAAATTTTAAGGTTTTGGTTACTATTTGGTTACCAATTTATAAATTCAGGTCCAGACACAATGCCACTTGCCTGATCTTTCACACACTCCACAGTGGCCCTACGCAGAGGTGTGATGTTGTAGGCCATAGTCTGTGCATTTTGGCCCAGGACACACAACTGGAACTTGACACTCTCCCCTTTCTGCAGGCAATCCCCTTTGTTGGCCATTCCAACAATGCCAAATGGATAGACCTCACCTTTCATATCTCCTGTAAGAAGAAAAAAGTACAAAGACTAAAAGTTAGCATTTCACAACAGCCCTCTGCAAATGATACTAATAAATTTGTAAGTTGCTAAAAATGTAATACATTCCCTAAAAAATATATTTTTACACCTGAGACATTCTACTTTAAAGCTTCAATGAATCCCTAAATGCTAACTACTACAATGAAAACAAATGAGAACCTGCAGCTTATTATCACTTTAACAGCTAATGAACAGTTTTAAATGACATCTATAAAATAATAAGTAACACTATCATTCACAATCTCATTACCTAAATATATGAGCTTTTTAAACACTATGGGTTGATAATACAATCCACCAGATTATCCTCTCAAGTTCACAATATGAGCCAACTAGTCAAAGTATTTCTGACCCATACCCAACTAGCTACTAAACAACAAGCCAGGCATAGGCAAAGATGATGTAAATAAATTTCTTTGCCATTCAACCTCCTTTCTTCATTCTGATTGTGACTCCCTCAAACCAACAGTCACCTTTTTCCTAAATCGGGACTCAGCACACTTTTTCTTCAAGAGCTAGATCCATAGCCGGGTGGCTCAGTCAGTTGGAGCGTCGTCCCATACACCAAAAGGTTGCTGGTTCAATTCCTAGTCAGGGCATGTACAGGGAGGGACAACCGATCGATGTCTCTCTCTAACATCCATGTTTCTTTCCCTTCACCTCCCCCTTCCTCTCTCTAAAATCAATCAAGAGTATACCCTTGGGTACGGATTAAAAAAGAAGAGCTAGATAGTAAAGATTCCAGGCTTATAGGTCATCCTGTCTCTGTCACAATTACTCAACTTTGCTCTTGCAGTCAGAAAGACAATACAGGGGTGGGCAAAAGTATGTTTATAGTTGCTGATATGAAAAATAACAGATTAGTAAATA